CGGGCTAGATAAGATATGCAAACAAAGGATTTCATTCTCTTGGGTCAATGCCTATTTTAACCATAGTTTAGCTATGTTCACTAATCACTCCATAGAACATCACATTATTGATATGAATTATTTTAACGTAGTATCAATAATTTCCCAAAGCCTCTTCAAGTGATCTATATCTCTACTAGCAATTGCCCAACAAATGCTGGGTGGATGGCAAATTTCATGCCATTTCAAGAGGTTTGCTGAGCTTACCTATGTTTGCTGTTTGATCTAATTTAGCAAGCAACTAGAACTGGCACACCTTTTCCAGGGTGTGGTGAGCACTCAAAAAGCCTCCCATGCTTTTTAGAATACAATGATGCTTGAGTTGTGAGAGGTGGGTGGGGTTTGCAAGTTCCGAGAACTCACCTTGAGCTTGTTCTCTCTCGTGGAAGGATAGAGACTGCAAACTCTTTGATGGTTCTGGTTGCATTGAAGGCTAGCTCTAGCTCCAGCTCTGCTGCTCGATGGCATCCACAAACCCAAATGAAGACGTCTCAAATTTCCACAACACACAAAAATCTAGATTGTTGTGGTTGGGGGCCAAATTAGCAGCCGCTGGCCTGATGCTGAACACAGATCTCTACAGGAAGAAGCGCAATTGCTGCGATTGCCACTGATCTGGCAAGCAAGCGTTAGCTCAATTGCGGCAGGGCATCTAAAGCGCGCTAAAAAGAACGGGCACAGGGGTAGGACACCACTGGTGACACATGTCAGATGCCTGTCTTGCCTCGTTCAGAGCCAATGAGCACTGGAGCTGTGGTGGTCTCCTGGGCTAACATTAGAAAAATTTCTTGCGCAACCATCGCCTGGCCCGGGCCTGGGATCCTGGGCCATCTATATATATAAAGCGATAGCAGGACAAAGCAGCTGATTTATGCTGGGTGCTAATGACCATAAACACGTAATAATAATTGAAGAAGAAAGAAAAGAAAGCTTATCGGATGAAAAGGGATTCTCTGACAGCACCAAAAAAGACACTGAGAAAAAACTTTTGATTCAAGCTCCTTACAAGGATTCCAGGTTCAGTTTGATTCACCGACCAAGATAATGGAACGAAAAGCTTCAGGAAAACGTGGACAATATACCTTCATTTCGACGGAGTACTCAGCTTTTTCTCTGCGCCTTATTTCGCTGAACTGGCAGTCCTGGCAGACAAATTCCTACAGAAACTCCAATGCGTCTCGTTATGCTTCTGCACAACAGCATTTTAAAAAAAAAGAAAAACAGTAAAACCGAGCAGTTCGCTATTCACGGATCAACAAGCAAATTAGAAATCTTCGCTTCAGTTGGAGGGCTCTCATAAGCTTAGTATTGCTCAACGTCTTTCCAAACGAAGCAGATTTTCTTAGGAAGCTTGGTTTAACCCTCTGCTAGATTGCAGTCATTACTGCATCTGAAACCTTTACGCCATTGCACACCACTCCAGAGCATTGACGCCACTGTGAGCAAACTACTAAAGCAACATATCAAAATCTTTCAAAGAATCTCGGAGTTCTTACTCGACTACTCAATTCTACTCCTTAAATATCAAAAAAGCATTTTCTTCTGCCAAACAGTGATCGTGCTGCTATAAAACTCTAGAAAAGTTCCCAGTGTACGAGGTGCTTGCGTTTCCATGTTATTCTAGCCTTGCCACTGGCGTGGTTTTCCACAAGAAATAGCTGCCATTGTCATTGAATAGCATAAAGCAACCATCCTCCTGACGGTATAAGATTGACATTGTCTTGTCCCACAGGAACACAGGATACGTGTTCCTCGTGGCCACCCAACACGAAAAAGCGTGCATCAATCCTTTTCAACACAAGTTCCACCTTACAGTGTTAAAAACAAAATATGGCCTTCATAGGACGCGCGGCTTCACCACCACCGTCGAGTGCTTGGCAATATGCAAGCTGAACTGTCCACCCTTCTCGCTCACGTCAATCTTGTCGCATCCCGGAGGTGGCAAGAGCTCAAACTTGGCAACGAGACTTCCAATCACCAAGTGGAGCAGCGGCATGGCGATGATGATCCCTGGGCAGCTCCTCCGCCCCACCCCAAATGGCAGGAATCTAAAGTCATTGCCGCTGGCCTCGATCTTGCCGTCCAGAAACCTGCTTGGATCGAACACGTCGGGCTTGTCCCACAGCTCCGGATTGTTCCCCAGCCACCACGCGTTCACCAAGATCTTGCTCTCCGCCGGGATGTCGTAGCCGGCCAGCTTGGCGGGCCGGAGGTTCATGTGTGGCACCAGCAGAGGGATCGCCATGTGGTAGCGGAACGTCTCCTTGATCACGGCGGTGAGATACGTGAACTTTGGAATGTCGGGCTCCGTGATCGCAACTCCCGGCCCCAAGACCCTGTCGAGCTCCTCGCGAACTTTGTCTTGGATATCCCTGTTGTTGACGAGCTCGGCGATGACCCACTCCATTGACCAGAGGGTGGTCTCGATAGCTGCGGGAGAAAACGGCGCCGAAACGTTAGGAAAGTGGTCCATCTGGTAAAGCAGTAAACGACGATAGGTAGGTCGTCACTCACCAGCAACGTTTATGTTTTCCACTATGTACAGGACGTTGGCTTCGGTGATCTCTCCCTGCTTTTGAGCCTCCAAAATGTGATCGATGGCAACCTTGTCGGGTCCGGTCTTTCCAGCATTCAGCAATTGCCTGCGAGCACACAAGGCTGAGGTTAGATATGGTTGCCAGAAAGTCAAAACAAACAAAAAGGGAAAGCTCCAAAAATACGTGAAGAGCTTACTTGCGCTCGTCCAGGAAGTACTTCTTGAAGAGCCCCAGCCGGTTCTCCTTCACGTCCTTGCACATCTGCAGGTAGCGCTTGAGAAACGGGCGCAGGATGGGGATGAAGTCGCCGTAGTTGTACTCGAAGCTCTGCGCAAGCCGGCTCCTCTCGCCATTGAGCTGCCGGAGCTTCAGAAAGAGCGGATCGTCCTCGCTCTCGAAGCGCCGATCAAACATCATCTTGTACATGACGTTGTACATGAGCAGCTGGAGCCTCCTCCGGATCACAGTCCCGCCCTCCTGCGCCTCCTTGTTGGCGAGAAGATCCTTGAGCACGAACTCGATCTCCTGCTCCCACACGGGCCTCGACTGCTGTACCACTTTGTTGGTGAAGAACGGGACGGTCATGATCCTCCTCATCCGCCGCCAGTGCTCGCCGTAGACCGTGAAGACCATGTCCTGCCCCTTTCCGGTGAAGATATCAAACACCACGTTTCTCGTGCGCGATCCAAACTCCACGCCCTGCGTGTGAAGCACCTCCTTGGCGAGCTCGGGCGAGGACACCACGACGAGATTCCTCTGCCCCATCTTGAGCAGGAAGATCTCGCCATACTTCTTGGCGAGCTCGGCCAGGTTGCGGTGATTGAGATCGTCCCCTACCTGGAGCCAGTTCCCGAATATCGGCACCGCCGGAGGGCCCGGCGGGAGCTTGAGCTTCGGTCCCAGCGCCCTGGAGGCGAGAATCGCCCCAAGAACGAGCGCCAGGAGGCCAAACAGCACCGTCTCGAGGCGGAGAGGAGACGATGCCGCCGCCGCCAGCGCGGCCTCCTCCGCCGCGGATGCTACATTGATCATCGCTGCCACGGCTAGCAGTGTCGCACTGCCCCGATCCATCGCGACGAGCTTTCCCCTGCGGCAGCACAGAGAGACTGGATTAAGCAAATCTGGAGAGCAAGATGGCTGGATTGCGCAGATCTGGCAGCTTACCGGAGCTAGATCTCACAGCGCTCTTGGCGTGGGAGTTCCTACACCTCAAAGGGAGGCTAAGGAAATATTTAGAGACCGCTTTGCCCTATATACTCCCAAAGGTGTTATCACCGTCAATCTCTGTCAGCAAACCATGGCTGCGATCCACGCGTCCAGCGCCTAGCCGTCGGATCGGCCAGATGCCGACGGCTGCGGTTTGAGTGATGGACAGGCGCTTGACTAGTAGGCAATCGAAGCACGTGTAGCGGCTCCCGCCACAAAGAGGTAGGTAAAGCTGGCCGGGATCTTTGCGAATATTCTTGGGATTTGTACGGATGTGTGTCATGTATTGTAGTTTTTTGGATCGTGATCCAGGTCAATGGTAGCCACGATGGCCGCATTTGATTTTCTTTGTGAAAGATGCCTCTTAGAGCTATGATAGGTATAGCTCTCGTAAGAGAGACGCACAAAACTTAGTCTCTTTGATAATAGTTTAAGTTTTCTCCACGGCTCCATCACCACCTGTTGAGTGCCCGCCCACAAACTTCGATGACAATTCCTGAGCGGCTTCTTCGTTCCACCCAAATGGAAGAGATCTCGAGTCACATTGCTACTGACCTCTTCCTGAAACATGGTTGGATCGAAAACGTCTGGATTCCTTCATAGCTCGCGAAGGAGTAGTGGAAGGTTTCTCCTAAGATACGTGAGCTTTGCGGGTGCCGTCCAAGACTTTTTATTAACTAATCCCTTCCTGGTTGAAAAGTTCCATGATGATCCACTCGAGGTTGACAAAAGCGCTGCAACAGTGTCCCGTGGAGCGTTGTAAAAGTCCACCGCACCAAAGATTGGTAGGTCGTCACTCACCGACAACTTTGATATTCTCCAGGATGTTGTCTTGTAGGTGGCTCTCTCCTCTGGTAGATCTCACACTTGTCGGGTCTAACCATCCGAGCGCAAAAAATAAACAATCAGGTCTGGTCTCGTTTCTTTCATGCGCGAGGAACTACAGTCATGGAGGCGTGAGAGAGTTTGACGATGGAATTCATCTCCCATAATCCAATTAGCGTCAAGTTACGCAGCTTCTCGCATGGCTTGTCAAAAACACAAGAGTTAACCAGCATGGCCGCCCTCAAATCCTGATGCTCGCTCGAGTCATAACAGAAGAACTTTCAGCCGCAGGGCATGTTGCCCAAACAAGTTGAGAGTTCTGAGGCTGCCATTCGAGACGAAGTAATTCTATCCCTCAAAACGTCCAGCCTTGGGTATGATGATACCAGCATCTGGACCAATCTCTTTACTCTCGTTGTGTGAATGTATTATCACCGTTGAAATTAAGCAAGAAAATTCGTCAAATTTTCTAGATTTTTTCCTTGCTGACGGCTACAGATGGATCGATAACCATGGATGCAACTTCTCATGCGTGAAAGAAATGCGACAAGGAGACAACGAACGCAAGTCGGACAGCACCCGCAAGGATTCGTAACTTAGTCTCCCTATCACCAGCTCCAAATTGGCCACATCTTTGTAGTGAATAACAATCCCTTTGACTCCAAGTAAATCCTTGAGAACCAGCGCGTTGGGCAGTGCAGACTCCTCCACATGAACAGTGAGATCGTTGAGAAGATCGGAGACACCCCCAGACACAAATGACTGCAACGCAGATCAGTAAGAAAAAAGAAAAACAAAGACAAATGATCAAGATCCACCTGAAGAGAATGACAGTCGCAATGTAAAGTGTCCACACTACCAAACGAAGATAAGAGCCTGTCGATGGTGATATTGTGGTGGCTTTTAAAATAATAAAGGGAGAGCTTGGAGACCAGAGGCATGAACCAAGACATCTCGGCAATCGCATCCATCTCCCAGGCTCCAAATAGCGTCAAGCAACGTACCTTCTCGCATCGCTTGTCAAGAACACAACAGCCGTAAAAGCTGGCCACCTTCAAATCCTCGGAGCGCAACCGGATGCTCACTGGAGTTCCTGGGCTGTGTACTCCCACCAGCAGAGCTTCCAGCTGTGGGGCGTCGATTGTAAGCTCAAACGCCTCAAGGTCCTCATCGCATTGCCCGAGCACAGTCAGAGCTTTGAGGTTTCCACTCGAGACTGTAAGGGATTGCCCGCCAACAATGACAGCGCTCAAAACCTCCAGCCTTGGGCACGATGCTAGCAGCATCGGGAGCAGCGCGTGAGGGACGGGGCTGACAAGCTTGCAAACTTCTAGGGCCTGGAGAGAGCACGACACCAAGCTCTTGGTGCTAATGCCCATTGTCCCACTTATGTAGATCATCTGGATCGCGGTGGAGCACGCGATCAAGCTCCAGACCGCCGGTCCCCACTTGAGCCCTTCCAGTTGGAGGGCGAGCCTTGTGACGGAGCCAGCAGCCCAAGCAAGCCAGTGACCGCTAACTTCCATCTGGTCGTCGCCATAGCCACACTGGAGCACGACGATGAGCTCCTTGAGGCAGCCGGGAGCCTTGTACTTGGCGCGGTGGAGGACGCTGGAGATGGTATCCTCGGCGTCCCTCACCTCCTCCATGCTACTTACCTCAAAGTCGAAGTGGAGGCGAGAAACCGCCGAGCTCAGCTCCCACCATCGCTTGCACACCAGCGAGCACTCCGCGAGCTGCCGCGCATCGCCCACCTTGCTCAAGATCTCCACCAGGGTGCTATCGTCCAGCTCCACGCTTCGCCTCATTCGACACCCCCTGCCCTGGTTTCAAAAATGAAACGTTTAGCTACGTTCCGTACAAGACGTATTTGCCTTTCGTACGCTGAGAGTTCTGGCCATGTGGCCCAAGAACAGGGGGGTCGGCGTCTCAAATCTCGTGCCCCGCAGTTTCAGCGGAGAGAATGGCTTCATTATCCTGAAAAACTGGTCATGGAGGATTTGCTGTGAGAGAGCCCGCATTTCTCATCCCCCTTGTTTCTTGGCTTCCAGGAGCTAGGGTTTTCTCGCGCTCGCTAGGCAATGGCGGCCTATCCCGGGACAACCGCGATCACCACAGAGCTCATACAGAAGGTGCGTGAGTGTTTTCTTCCTTTTTTTTTGGGGTGTGCGTGGGCGGCTTTAGGTTGTCTGTCCAGTAGCATCTATAGTTTTTCGGATGGAATGTCGTTTTCCTGTGCAAGAGAACGTTTCATTCCTTTTTGGGTTTTAGGAGAGGAGCATAAAGTGATCTCTCACAGTTTTGTAAGGCCAAAGCTCACTTTTTTTTGCTCTTTTCTCTTTTGGATTTGGTGCTGCA